GATGCATGCACCTGGTATTTGATATTGTGATCTGTTGGCTTGTTACTACTGGTGAAATATACAATTAAGTTATGCCTTTTCCTTTCTTGGCAGTCTCCCTAAGTACTCTTTTAACAAATGTCTGTAGGGATGCCATCGTTTAAGAGCAAGGAGAGCTGGTTCTAATCTATACCTTGATGTACATATCGTGGTGAGTTTTTGGTACATTTTCTAGTGCCAGTGAAAATCGCAAGGAGAATATGATTAGAAAGTATAAAAACTACCTCACTTTTGTTAAGCTTGCTGAGGATATGATGTTTAATAGAGCAGAATGAAACAATGTGATTCATATAGCTAACCGTAAATAGTCGGATAGCGTTTGTTGCTACTAGTACTTTATATTGTTGGTTTTTTTGCTTGACTGTTAAACTGCCTATTTGAGATTTCCTGATGCCCTTTGTGATTTTCCCCTTATTTTTGACATGTAGGTCAATCCCTTTTCTAGTGTTAGTGCTGCACATGGCATTGGTGAAAACATTCGTCATCAAATTCATGAGTCCCACCCTGAAGTGACTGAAGTTTTCATACACATAGGTACATTACTTGGTTACTTCATCACTGAATTGGTTGCAACAAATTTCTTAAGATGAGAGCTGTAATTTCACTATTTTGTGTTGAAAGATGACCATCTTTAAAAGAAAACTGATTGTTAAGGGAAAGAAGAAAAGAACTTTCCCTCTAGGTAATTACATCATTTGTCTTTTGTTGATAATTTCTTCTGACTTCCATGGACCATTTATTCTATTTTCAGCTTGATAATTTAACCTGTGGTATGGAGAAACAATTGATCTTGGAGCAAGTGATTTTTGGCCAGTGTAAATACTGAGCTAAGATGTACTTTAATGGCGATTAGCATTTAATTTAACTTTTTTTTTTTGCCCTTTATAATATTGTGGTTTTAGGCATAGATATCTGATACCATGCTGAAGAGATTACTGGTTATTGGACTGTAAAATTGATGCAAGAACTGTCTTTGCATCACCAGTTGTCGGCGTCTTTGTTCTGATCAACTTTCTTTTTACCTTTTGGAAAGTGTAGATCCTGCATATATAGAGTTCTCCCCTGACGTAATGGACCAGAAAGAAAGTTTGAAGAGAATCGAGGAACGGAATAATAATATTTCTGCCAGGGAGGAAAATGTTGAAGCAATTGTTTCTAGCATATTTTCATCAAAGTTTCCAGAGGTACCTCTTCTCATTTTGTTGAGTGTTTTAAGTGTAGGCTCAATTATAAATGAACTATGCTGTGGATAAAGGTGTTAAGCACTGAAGTCGGAGTAGCAAGGTGAAATGTGGTTTGGTAAAAAAAGCTCCAGATCTAAACTTTAACCATTGTTGGAAGGGAAATCATGAATTTTGTTTTCATCTTGTTATTTTTGCCTGTTATTCAAGCCAACACCACACTATTGCTTGGGGCAGAACTTGCTACTTTATTCTTAAAACATTTTTAATACATTTTTTTGTTGAATACATGAATTTTGCAGAAATTTATGGTTGAACGCATAACTCATCACATGTTACAAGGGAAGATATTACTGGAAGTTGAGGTTAGCATGCCCCCGGATATCATGATTCGGTACAAGCTCTCTTTCATTTTTCCTTTGGCGGTTTGTTCAATATATATGTGGATTAATTTTAAAAATAAACCCTATGGTAAAGGTTGAAATGAAAATATCCCCTAGATTTAATACGTGATACTTAACTACTTTATAATTTGTTATATTGTTTTTTTACCAAAATCTGTTATTTTTTCCGTTTCTTTTTAATTTTTTTTTCTTTTTTTTTTTCGTCTAAATTCATATCCTCTCTCTAAAAATTTATTTTTTCTCCCTAAAATCAAATTAATTCTCTCTCTAAATTCAAATCATACGACGAGAGGCAATGTGGAAGGCATCGGCTGAACATGAGGTAAAAATAAACTTTGATGGTGCTTTAAATACAGAGAGGAACGTAGGAGGAATTGTTAGGGGAGGGTCTTAGGAGCAGTGTCCATACTTGTACTAGGAATTAGGGATGCAATAATAATAGAGGGAATTGCTATCTCAAAAGCGGCTGAGTTTGCTTTTGCCATGGGATGGACAAACATTGTGCTGGAGGAAGACGCGCAAGGAATCATTGGCCAGATCACTGACCAACAAGAACATAATTTGTCTTTAATTGGAAACCAAATAATGGAGGTCCAATATGGTCTAACCAAGTTTCAGAACTGGAAGGCAATGTTTGTTCAGAGAGAAGCGAATGAGGTGATGCACAAGTTGGTTAAAATGGCAGTGAAAAATGTGGAGACTTGACAGTGGCTTAATGTTTGCCCAGTGGAACTAATAGGCATTGTAACCCAAGAGGCTGTTTATAGAATTAATGGAATGACTTTTGCTTTTTTTTTTTGTAAAAAAGTGAATCTCATAATGGGCGATTGAATTTAAACCTCGATCTAGTTGATTTATACAACAATATTTTAAAAAATAACATTCAAATAATATTTAAAATGTCTGGTTTTGTTTGATTTTAGAGAGAGAATTAGTCTGATTTGAAGGAGAAAGTATGAATTTAGATGAAGAAAAAAAAAATTAAAAAAAAAACAAAAAAGTAATAGATTTAAGTTAAAAAATAATGGAACAAATTATAAAATAGTTAAATGTCATATTTTAAACTTTAGGGTATTTTTGTTTTGGCTTTAATCATTGGGTATATTTATAAAGTTTATCTTATATATATATATATATGTGTATGTGTGTGTATATATATATATATATATGTATATATATAAAGATATTAATTTTACTCGTATTTAATGAGAAATTAGACTTTTTATCTGAATGGGGATGAGAATGTGTATTATATTGTATTTACAAGGATCGGTATGAGTATATGTATGATTTAAAATTTTTATTGGATACAAAAATGGATAATATAATACTCATCTCGTATTTGTACCTTATATATATATTTTATATACATTTTTAGTAAATAGATTTTTTTTGTAAATATAAATTATTTTATTAGATTAATTAGAATTAGTATATTTTTATTGAAAAATATATTAATATATATTTATAAAAAAATATCAAAATATACAAGATAAAAAAAATTTTAAAAATAAATTTGAGTTTTTATTTTTTTAAACGTTTAAGGGTAATGGGAGTACTCATATTCATTAAATTAAATATTTGCTTATTAAATTAAATATTTGCGGGGATGAGAATGTGAATAAATTTAAAATATTTATTAAATATAAATACGATAATAGATATAATATAAAAATATAAGAATGAGGATGCAGAATGCTCTACATTACCTATCGAACATTCCTATGTATATTGACTTTTAGGATGCGAAATACTTTATTTTACAAATTGATATCCTTATATATATCGAATACCAATTTCTTTTCTTTTCTCATTACAGTGATGCTATGGAAGCGGCGAAGGAGGCAGAGAAGGAGATACTGAATGCAGCTTCAAACATTGTTCATGTCAATGTTCAGCTAAGATTGGGAAGTCCAATTCCGCAGTTCAAGTATACATAGCAAAGTTTCAATTATTCAAAAAACCAGGACTCTCTTCCTGTAGTGTTTTCAGTACCAATCATAATTATACACATTGTTTTCTAAAGATTATACACATTGTTTTCCATACGTCTTTAGAAGGGAAATTAATAAGTAATATTTGATTTACTAAAAAGCGCTTATTTAACCCCTGCATAAACCTCTTATTGTAAGTAGTACGCATAAACCTCTTAATGTATTAAGTAGTTTTTATCTCAATAAGATGACTTACATAAAGCTTGAAAAAAGTGGCTGTTTAAACTCAATTGAGTCAACTTTCAACTGATTATTAGTATATACTTTTTTAAAAAAAAAAATTAAAATCCAAGTTTTACATTTGAATTTTGTTCTCAAGTTCCTCCATCCCCAACCTTAAAAAGCTAGTTTGCTATCTATTTATTTTATCTTTTTCTTTTTTTTGTTAGTAATTTAAAGTTTCTCATTCATTCTATTTTTTTTTTCATTTTACAAGCGTGTTCTAGTAGAATTTTATTCTCTTGTCACAAAGTCTTGTCTCATATATATATATATATATATATATATTTATGTATGAAATATGTAAAAATCAACACCTTTGAGTAAAGAATACCTATTTGAATGATTACTCATATTGAAATTTATAAAATCTTCCTTTGAAATATCTAAGAAATTACCCTTTTAATTTAATATTTTTTCATTGTTTTTGTTTTCATTTTTAATTGACATAAACCCAAATCATCTAATATTATAAGATAATCCATCAATAATGATCGAGATAACTCGGTAAAGCAAACGATTGAAAACCCTCGTGTCATCAGTTCATATATGATTTTCTACATATGACTAATTTGTATGAATATTTACTTTACAAATTAATTGATATATATTGACATAATACATACTTATTTAACTAGTTATCTTAAAGTAAATCCTTTATTTATTTATTTTTTCTATTTTTTAGATAAGGAAAGAATCTATTATAATTATAATATAATAAAAATAATAAATAATGCAGTAAAAAATTTTTCATTATCTTTCTTTTTTTTTTTAATTTGTTCTCTTTAAAATAAAAAAGAATGTTAATATTTCATACACCAAAAATATGATCTAGAAGATATCAAAGATAGAATTAACGAACTCATCTCAGCTACAGTGCGAATAAAATCCAATTCCTTATTATTTATTTATTTTTGTGTTCTCTTTCATATTCCATTTCTTCATTCTTTTTTATGCGACTCTCTAAAGTTCATCTAAGTGATGTACGAGATATAAAATCTTTGTTGTTCTTCCTATTGTTTCTACTCGTCCGAAATGAAACAAAAAATTATCTTAAAAGATGTATTGTCTTTTATTAAAAAAAATGGATTAAATAATATTAAAAAAAGAAAAACCTTGAAAATGAAAGTAAATATTATCAAAACAATGAGAGAAAAAAGAAGCAAAACAAATTTGACACGAAAATAAAGAGAAAAAGGGAGATAGAGAGCCCAGTGATCAGATAATTGTAGTCTGATTTTTTTTAGTCGACATTATATTTTTCAGAAAAGGATATCATCATCTCAATGGCTCTAAATCAGACTCTAACAAAATTAACCTATCAATTTTTCTTTCTCATCAAAAACTAAAGTTGGGAGTTGAGAGGGAAGAAAATGAGAGAAGAAGGCTCAGAAGGATCCATTGGTGATTTTCTAATCACAAAATGGGCGAAAAACCCTTCATAAAATAGGTAGTTTTCAACATCACCGCCTCCCCTTTTTTATCATTAAAAATTAAAAAAAAAAAAATCAAAGCTTCAAAAGTTTATCAACGCCGAACCTGATGTGCCTATGGGAGGAAGAGTAAAGATTAGGAACTTGAGATAAAAAAGATGATTGAATTATAAAGAAAAAGCGAACCCGAAGATTTGGCTTCGGCTGCGAAGTTGGCTTTCGCTATCGCGTATAAATAGAAAATCTAAATTAGGGTTAGGGTTTTTAACCCGTTGGTGAGAGAGGATAGAAGGGGCAAGCCTTATTACGAGCCTAACCCTGCGTTCACCAGAATGGGCAGATAGCTGATTTGGGCTTTAAAGGACTCCTGAAATTCTGGGCTCCGGCTTCATCCTAGTCTAAGCCCACTTGTTTTTCACTTCTCATTTGACCAGAGTTTATTTCATTCGCATAGTTGCTTTTGGTACTTACGGTTTTATTCACGTTGTACAATCTAATAAATATAATTTTTTGTATTTTATCTTTTTTTTTTTTTTATAAAATTCAATCATTTAACAAGATTATCTCTAATTTTATGATAGAAACTTAACTATAGAGAATGAATATTTTTAATATATTCTAGGAGGAGAAAGGGATTAAGAATTTTTAATTTAATAATTAAGTTATTCATTGGTAAAATAATAAATTTTTAATTTTCGTCATCAATAGTCAAATTTTAATAGTCTCATTATTAATAGTCAAACAATAAGTACTCATTTGAAGATAAGAGAGTGAGGTATCATAAGATTCCTAGTCAGATGTAGCATGTAATATTGGATTCAATTAATTTCACCAAAAATTGACTTCAAAAATAGGAAATAAACAATAGCATTGTGAGTCCATCTAGTGGGACAAAGTTGGGAAATGATAGTCTTTAATTGGGGTGGGGAGGGTGAAAGCGGATGTTAGGTATGATGAATATGTACGATTCCTACGACTTGAAAGATGGGGTAAAAGCAGATAGTCTCTGCTGAATTTTTATTTATTTTTATCATTTTTCATATTCATGTGGAAAACATTTTCCATGGAAAGTGGCCCAAGCTGGTTCTACATTTTAGGATTACATTACTTACCAAGTGTGTCTGTATCAGCGTTTCTTTTTTCTCGGTACAAATTGGCTGTGGAAAGGAAACGGAGTTTCATATTTGTTGTTTGTTTTAAACTTTGAAGAAAAATGTCTTCGAAGAGTGAGATTAGGTTATTTCGTGATCGACACGTGGTTCTCTTACTTAATTTTGATAATTTTAAATACAATATAATGATATAATATAAAAAATTATATATTTTAAAAAATATATTTTATATTTATTTATATCGATACGAATTTTAATATAATATAATTTATATCTTATACTTATTAATATATTAATACGTCTAAACACATAACATAAAATTAATCACATATTTAATTTAATTTTATCATATAAATATACATGTAACATATTTAATATATTTTTTATATTTATTTTAATTTAATATAAATATATAAAAATTATTTTAATTATTAATCTTTTAATTATAACATTTAATTAACTATTTAATATTATATAAAAATTATTTTTAATATTTAATTATGATTCTCGTTTACGAATCGCGAGGTCTACTCCCACTTATCGCTGGGTCATCATGAATTTAAAAAGTCAGGCCCATTGTTTGAAGATAGATAAGTTGGTGTGTACCCTATGAGCCCCATTTGGTTCCCAATGCCAGAGTGGCCATCTCAGCATTGTCACAGACAAGAGCAAGAAAATCTTCCAAGGACAACTGACAGATAAAAGTAACAAAAAAACCTGTGGCTCTCAGACATCCCAGATGGACTTTGCAATAGCGGAATTCCCATGTGAGAGCTGTTGCTGAAAAGGGTTTATCATTGGCAGTCTTTGTTCGCTTATTGCTTCCAATTCTAATCTTTGTTGCTGATGCTGCTGTTCATGCAAATTGACTGTCCTTGACACTCCAATCCCCATGAAATCAAGAGTTGTCATGTTATTTTCTCCATTGCTCGCTCCAAATATTGCTGGCCCTGGTGGGTTCCTTTCGATCGCCTGAGTTCTCCCTTGTAATAAGCTAGAACTGCCACAATCTTCATGTTCCATGTTCTTTATCAA